TGACTGATCATGACCGTATCTACAGTAATGCTGGCGAAGGGCTTAACTTTGCATGGCTTCAACTTTATAATGCTACCGAAAAAGTTCTTTATAAGAGTATGCAGGATGTTATCAAAAAAGCACACGCATTTATTGAGGCCAATAAACCATCAAAAAAATATGATTCTTCTACATTACAACAATGGTCTATTAGAAATGATAAAAAAAATAACACTGCTGATAGGATAGAGTCAAATTTGAAGAATCTAAATATGGCTTTACCTTTAGAATCTCAACGTCATGCAATATCAAGACAAAGGTTCGAACATGTACGTGAAAATCGTGGCAACAACAATAATGGTGGTCACAATAATAATTCTGCTAGTAATCACCACTACAATAATCGCTCAGAGAAAATTGGTAATAATAACAACAGTGGCAACAGTATTAATAATGATAATAACAATGGCTCTTTGCCTCTTCAATCACCAGTTTCACAATTAGACAATCCTCTCTATAAAACTCGTTTATGTGAACGATTTGAAACTGAAAAATTTTGTCCGTATGGACCTAAATGTACTTTTGCCCATGGTGCAGGCGAATTAAGAGAAAGGCTTGTCGTTCCTGTTGAAGAAAAATCTAGTTTGCCTACAGTAAAGGATGGACCAGAAAATCCTTTGTACAAAACTCGTTTATGTGAAAGATTCATGAAAGAGAATTTTTGTCAATATGGTCCTAAATGTAATTTTGCTCATGGTGAACATGAACTTAAAGAAAAACCTAATACCACTACTAACAACACTACGGCCGTTCATGGCAATAATAATGTCATTAACCCCCGTAATAATAATAATAACAACACTAATAATCGCGATTCCGAATCTCATGAACCTCATGAACATCATCCTAACGATTACTCACAACAACAACATCCACAACTTCGTCAATCGCGTCATAACAATATGATGAATGGATATGATTCAACTAAAAGAGTCGGTCCTTCTAGTCCTGGATTAAATATGGGATCAGGATCAGGAGGATATCGATCTGAAATTCAAAATGGAATTTTTGCTAAAATTAATACTTTATCATCACCATTGACACCTACTTCTACTCAAAATAATTTAACCAATAACAATAGGTATATTTTTTTTTATATTTATTTCTTTTTATAACCAATTTATTATAATGGACTAAAGGGGAGTTTTTTAAACCAAAAATACGACAGCTCTCAAACAGAAGTTCAACAAGATTCAGAAGAGTACACTGTTGAGGGCGGTGATATCGAGAAAAAGAAAGATAATGGTCAAATCAATATTTCAAGCGAAACCAAGACTGTATCAACGGGTGTAGGATCAGTTATTGTTACAAACACAAGTACCAATACTAATGAAGATTTTAGTGAACATCAAAAAGGGGAATTGGCTATTGTGCAACAATCCAGCAGCAATCAAACATCATCAACTACAACATCAACATCATCATCTACTAACAAACCACATGTAGGAAATTTATTTAAACCCAATAAAAATGATTTAGTTGATGAAAAGCCCTGGATTGAAGTGGTTGAATTAACTAATATGGAAATTGAACAATTGGGAAAAATGTAATTATAATACTTGTAATTCGACCAAACTACTTGTAATGCTTATATGTTTATGAAATGAATTAATAATAACAATAATATGTTCATGTTAATTAATTTCTTTTGATGAAATAATTAGTAAAAAAACCGACCATAATGTTACAAATGTTGACAAGAAATCACAAGAAGAAGTTTTGATTTTAGAATTGAAGAAATTCTTTGTTCAATCAAAAGAACAAAATAAAACAATATTGGAAGAAATCAAAGAGGTAACCCTCATGGAAACAAGGAAAGATTTATCCAAATTACAATTATTCAATATTTTGCTTCCAAGCTTATACGATGACGCTACTTGGGATGATATTATTAAAGACTTGGATCTAAAAAAAAAATTATTTAAAACAGTAAGTATTTATTGAACAATTATTTTATAATGTATTTTTTTTAAATGTTATTTCCTCAAAATAATTAACAAATAAAATTTAGTTCATTTGTTCTGCGCAAGATCAAATTATATTTATTCGAGCTTGGGAAAAATTTTTAAATCAACGTAACAAGAAATGGGTGAAACAATCACCAATGTTATATAAAACATTTTATGATAAAGATTATGTTGATGAAGATTCAATTTACAAATGGTATGAAAGCGCAAAAGATACTAGTGATGTGAAAAAGAAATGCAAGGTTTTTGTTGATTGGCTAAAAAATGCAGAGGAAGAGGATTAGCTAAGTATTAAATCAATGATAGATGGTTGTTACTATATTTTACTCAACAACGATTTTATATTGCATTCCTATTTCAAATATTCAAAATGCTTAATAGTTTTCATTTTTATTTGATTATTTTACACTTTCACAGGCATTTTTTTCATATGTTCAAAAATAATAATTTATTTTTATGTAAAAAAAAATTATCATTTGCTAATTTAAAGTTAGATTAAATTATAAATTAATATTTATAAAAAAAGAATTTAATTTGACCAAATTTTTATTTATTTATTAATTACAATATTTCATACGTTCCTTATTCCCTTTTTCCTTCTCTTCCATTCATTCTTTTATTCTCTTTATTCTATTTTATTTTATTCGTTCTTTTACTTTATTCACTCTTTTTATTTTATTCATATATTTATGAATTCCTTTTATGTTACAATAAAATTTATTAAATAAATTGGTTTTCCACAGTAATGACTTCGTGCGTAGTTTGTACGAGGACCCCAGATTAAAACCTCATCCGTGATCATTTGATTGTCGATGCTAATCAATGGCTTATTATATGCGTCCATTATATGCGCATTATAAACATTCATAGTATGTTTTTCATTTTAAGATTATTGTGATGTAAATTTATCAAAGTTCATTCGCATTTCATTAAATAGGAATATTTTCAATTAATCAAATGAGATTCCCATATATTTATGTTTACAAAAAAAAACTAAATATCTAAAAACGTTAAATTATTTTTTTAGGGCTAATTTCAGTCAGATTATTTGAGGGTAAAAAAGTTGATTAGAAATAATTAAGGTAATTTCCAATGAAATTTGGTTAAATTTAGGCTCATCCAATTGCAGCATCTCTCTGCCTCCCTGAAGATATAAATATATAACAAGTTGCTCCAAATTTTCAAACCCAGAAATTTATTAGCCAGTGACAATCCTTTATAATAAGCCAAATTATATGTTTGTATTTTTAGCTTGTAAGGACATGACCATTCCAAGTTATGGGGAAGTTGTCTAGGAAATTTGAAAATACACATATGGGTTCTTTCTTCATTATTTTATTCAAGAACATCTCAAGAAGGTTGCTGGAAATTGTTGAAAGAACCTGTTTGAAGCCCTCCTATATTGACAAGAGCATAAATGATATTGCTATTGGACCTAACACCTAAGATCATTCATTAATTATATTAGATTCAATATTATTTATTTATATTTGGAAGTGATTCTTTACAACTTGCAATTCTATTGGGCAATTTTATTTTCTAGGCACTAAGAAATTGGTTTCTTAGTATTATCATTGTTTCTTTGAGTAATGAATCCAATTATTTGTTTTATTTCCTTTATAAATTTAAGAAAACACATATATCAACATCAAATGTATTATTACATAATCATAAACATATGATCCAATATACAGAAGCAAAGGCACATCACATACAAGGAAAGCAAAGGAGAAATAATTTTATTTTATTTTGATTCAACTGATGCATATAAACTGGTGGAAATTCCTTTATTATTTTTATTTTTCATTATAATAATTATTAATAATATTGTATTATCAATATCTTTATCTTCTTTATCATCATTATCATCATTATCATCATTTTCATCACCATCCTTCATCTTTTTACTCTTTTCTATATTAACCCATCCTTGAATTCTTCTATCATTTTTTCATAGGATTGGAGAAGTTTTTATGATGGAGACAACAATTTATATTCCTTCTCAAATAGTTTGTGAATTTTTTATTAAATGAAAATCTGACTACAGCTCAATCTTTTCTTATCAACATATTGCAGAAAGTAAAAGATAAAAAACTAAGATCATGGTCCTCTCTCTAACTATCTATACTAAATATTTATTTTATTTATTTAATTTGGCAACTAACTTTTTATTTCAAAAATGTACTTAGATTATTAGTGTTGGTCACCAAAGCTATTTGAGGAGACAAGAGTCAAAACTAAAATTAAAAGTTGTGTCAAAACTAAATCAAAAAATAGTCAAAAATCAAAACTAGTTTCGACTTATGGTGAAACCTTTTGACTTTCACATGGTTGCAAAACTCTTTAGTTTTGGAAACAACACTAACTTAGATATCTAACAAAGTGAAACCAGTTCATTAGTAAGTATCCTTTAATACTGGAACTGATTAGATGCTCATTTAGATCAAAGAACTCCACCTTCCAGGAAGAGTGGATAGAATGTAATTATTGCTCCAAATCTCAAACATGGCTGAAGAAATAGCCCACCTAATCATGCAGGTAGACTACTGTATGTGATCCACAATGGTGATCAATACATATTTGAAGAAGTAATGTAAAGAAGAAGAAGTGACATACTGCCACCAAGCTAGTAGTGGGAGAATTCTAACATGTTATAAACATGAAGAGAGAAATCAAGTCATGTGATTGTATGTCACCAAGGATGCTGAAGAAGAATCTAAGAATTTCCAACCATTCAGGTTGGAAGGTAAGTAACAAATAAGCCAAACCTTGATTGTAGATATGTATGCAAGCATGTCTTGATTAAGTGGACCTTGACTTCACAAAATTTTGGGGTAAAAATCCATGGATTTTCATATAAAACTCTCAATATTAAAAAATTTATATATGTTATTTATAATAAATTTGTTTCTTGATATAACATGTAATTATATGCATTGCTATTTTTTTTTGGTTATTTACTTTTAACAATTAAAAAATAATGATTTTAATTACTCAGATAACAGGACCTTGGAATAATAATTCTTGACTTTCTAATAAATCTCTTATTGCATCAGATCTTAAATTGACTTTTGATTTATAACCAACTTCACAAGCATTCTATATTATTTCACAAAAGAAAGAAACATAACTATTAATACTAATAATAATATTAATAATGTAGTTTATTCGTCACTATTAAAATTATTTACATCTATCCTTGAATGTTTTGTTGATTGATCAGGTGAAGTATTCTCTGGTTCTAACATAAATTTCACATCTTCATAGATTCCATGTCTTAAAGCAATTTTCCTGGCTAATCAATCATAAATTTAAGTAACTAATAATTGTTTAAATATAAAAAGTATAACAAAGATATATTACCTATTTCAAGTGAAACCCTATTAATATAATAACAAATAAAAAATAAGAATTATTTTCATGGAAATTTCAGGAAAAAAAGCAAACTTACCAAACTCCTTCAAATCGTCCTTTTTCAATAACTCTACACTCCAAGTTCTCTTCTTTGAGCTTTTCAAGTATCTGTTTCCATTTTTCATCTTTGGGATATTTAACACATAATAAATGAGAGACATTAACTTCATTTATGTCCATACTAGTCCAAATATTGTAGTCATCCATTTCAAAACTAATCAGTGAATTATTATTTCAAAAAAAATAATTTCATCAATTAGAGAGATTTTATCACGGGAAAATTTTTTTTGTTACACATAAATTTATAAACGCGCGCATTCAAATAATAAAAATTAAAAATCTTTTTCCTTTCTTTATTTAAAGATAAAGATATTATCCTGTCCTTAAACTAATCAAGCTTGCTGAAAAGAAATCATTTTTTATGTTATAAAATTTTTTTGGAGAGAATCATCTACAAATTACAAAATTGAAAATGAAGGCGTGAGAAGTATCTTCCTAAATATATTATCAATAAAGCTAAGCAAATGCATTCTTTGGGTAATCTATTCATTGTTTGCTTTGTGGGAATAATAAGAGTGTTTACATAGCTAATGAAGATTTTCAGATTTGGAAATCATAGACTTAGATTAAGAAGATAATGATCCAGAATATGGTATTCAACTAGTGCATTTTCCAACAACACCAAAATCTGCCAAAGCAAACACCTCACCAAACTTACCCTTTGTTGATACCAATGTAACCAAAGAATTATAACACCTTCTACATAATAATAATATTAAATGTTTTGCAATAATAATAAGATTTCTTGTATTTCAACAATAATTAATTTGTTTCAAAAGAAAATGTCTAATCATTATAAAATAGTTTCAACAAAAATTGAAGTTTCGGCACAGTGATTGAGTTTTGGCAAAGTAACTGGGTTTCAAACTATTAGTTTCTATAACCTTTTTTTCCTGAGTTTCAGCATCATCACAATTTAGTTTAGGCAAACTTCTATAATAATTATATTTAAACAAAAAAAAAATAGCATTTTTACGTTGTAGATAAGGTTCTTAAAGATTAAAAACACTTTCAATTTTTTTTGTGGCTATGTTGCTTCCAAAGTTATAAACGTTTTAAGTTTCTGATTGTTAATCATATTCCATGAAAACTGTTATAACTCATCATACAAATGAGAATTTTAATTCTAAAAAATGTTTTGAGCTTGTGGAACATGTCTCTACAATGTAAAAGAGCCATATTTTAAAAATATTTATTAACATTGATGTACTTTCATGTTATTTTGACAAATTCTAAATAACTATCAATACATATAAATTAAAAAAATTTATATTAAACAAAAAAAATAACATTGTTACATTGTAGATAAGATTCCTAGAGATTAAAAACACTCAATTTTTTTTGTAGCTATTTTGCTTCCAAAGTTATAAACGTTTTAAGTTTCCAATTGTTAAAATCAATTTATTTAAAATAAAAATTGTTATAACTCATCATACAGACAAGAATTTTTAATCCTGAAAAATGTTTTGAGTTCAAAGGATATGTCTACAATTTAACAGAACCATATTTTAAAAATACTTATTAACCTGGATTTTCCTTTAATATTAAAAATTTTAACTTCCAGAAAAAAAAAAGAGTTGCTGGTTATTTTTCCTTTTTACTTTTTTTATTTTTTTTGTACAGGTTTTTCCATCCACATAAAAAAATTTTTATACTAAATATATATACATAAAGTATATGCGTGTCATTACTTTGATATTTTAGAAAAGAACCATAATTTGTATATTTTGAATTTTCAGAAGAAATGTATTGACTCAATTTAAATCTTATTTCACTGCTATTAAATTATTAAATTTAAAAATATATACACTTTATGAATTATGTATATTTGTTTCCTTATTCAAAAAAAAATATAGTATTGAACAAGAAAAATTAGATAATTTTGACTACTGAAGTTTGGGATGAAGCATTTATAGATGAAATAAATATTGATGAATCAGATATAGAAGGTTCAGGTTATTTGACAATTCAAGGTTCAGATGATGATGATACTTCAAAAAAAAACAAATAAAAAAAGAAAAATAGTAAATTAAGTGTAAACTATATTAAAATGTTAAATAAAAAAGTGCATTTTAAAAATCAGAAGAAGTTTTTCAGCATGAATGGCTAACATATATAAATGGTTAAAATATGATACAGCAATGAAGAGAATGTTTTGCACAATTTGTAAAGTACATGGGAAAAAAATCAATTTGCAGGAAAATGACAAATAGATATAATTAATTTGCATTTCACAATTATTAATTTACTAATATTATAATGTTATTATTTAGGATCAAAGAATGTTTCAAAATCTACTGCTTTAGCAACTCATGCACTTTCAAATCAACAGAAAGATGCTTTGTTTCTAGAGAAGGCAAGAATAACCATGTAAGGTTCTTCCAAAAAAGCCATTAATAATGGTAACAAACATATAATTAATATTTACTGGATGGCAAAAGAAAATATTCCAATTTCCAAATTTCCAAGTCTTAGAATTTATAGAAATAGTGCACTCAATTCCATTTTCTAGTATAGATTGTAAAAGAGGTTTTAGCAAACAGAATATTATCAAATGTAATGCAATGGAAAATGGCACATTGCACTTATTAATGATGGTTGGTTTAGAAGGTATTGATTTGTTTGGTTATGGTTTTAATGATGCTCTTAGTAAAAAAAACAGAATAAATTAAAGAAAATTCTTAAATATGAAAAAATTTTAGCATCCAAAAATTTTCCTTTTTTTAAATTTGTCTTTCGAAAAATTTTTAGCATTCAGGAGAAATTTCCGTTTTTTTTTCAAACCCTATTTCCAGCTCTGATCACAACAAGATTATGTTGTTAAAAATAAAAAAAAAAAAAGTTATTAAGTTTCAACTTTGTCTCTATTTACTACTCATTGTTGGTGATATATATTTATTACACCACTAACAGCCAATAAATGAGCCTCTTTATCACAGAACTGTGTGTATTATATTATTATTATTATGTGTTATTTTCTGATTTTAGTATTTGAAATTTATCAGATTCAGTCATTGGGCGGCCTATTTTTAATTGGATACATTGTGCAACAAACAAATTATTCTTAAAAAATGTTTGAAATAAATAGTTTGTCACTTGAACTTCTGACTGAAATATTCAAATATATTGAAGATGATTACTAAGTATTATATTCTTGTATACTTGTCAACAAAAAATGGCACAATATAAATATTGCAACTTTATGGAAGAATCCATTTTTTTCTAAAGGCAGTATCAAAATATTAATTAATTGTGTATTAGGGTTTTTTAACCAGAAATTGCATTGAATTAACTTTTGAACTATTGGAGAAACCACCACTATACAATTATGCCAGATTTTGTACTATATTTTTCATGAGTTGTAATTTTCAATACCTGATAAAAAACAAAGCATTAAATCTTGCACAAATTTTATGAAATCAATTAGGAAATTTTATTTTAGACCATTCAGCAGGTATTAGAAGGCTTAATATTGTTGATTATATAAATTATCATATAGGTTTTAATTTATTAATTAATCATCATAGATTTGAAAATTGTTTTCAGAATCTTTATGAAATACATCCGGAAAATATAAAAAAATTTTACACGTGTCAATTGTAAGTTTAATAATAAAAAAGTGTAAAACTTACATTGGCACTGTAAGATTTACACAATATTACGTTGGCATTGTAAGATTTATGCAAGTTTATGCTAAATTAATTTCCTGATGATAGTGACCACGTCCATTTGGAAATATGTCAGGAAACATGAGAGCTTCCAGATTTGGATCACCAAATAATATTGGATAGGAAACATTGTCTTTTACTATTGAAACTGCTATCAGATGGCTGTAGTTTGCATCTTCATCATGTATATCTGTTGGAAATGAATCACTTGGAACAACTAAATCATATGGTTTTGGAACCTCATTAGGTAAAGTGCTTCTATATGTATGAGATGACACATTTATTGACTGTTGTGCTAAAGGTAGTTGAAGTGGTATAGCATCATCTGGTAAAGGACGTGTAATATTGGTTGCATATTTTTTAATAAGTTTGTTATTTTGTTTAAGCCAATTTGAGGCAGGAATTAAAGTTTCATGAAACCACATTGATGGTTCATTGGCATTCAGAAAAGCTCCATTTGTTCCAGAATATAATTCTAAAGCATGATAATCATGTGTAATATTGATTTGTCCTTCCAGGTGAACATAATTTGTATAATGATTAGATCCAGTTGAAAGGTATTTATGATGTAACATGGGAACATTTTGAATCTCTGGAGGAATAGATACTAGAATTAGAGGATATCTTTTATTTTTCTCATTTTTACATCCATTACAAACAGCAACTTGTTTTATGTTTTTATTGTTTTCTTTTACAAATGGATCAATATTAGGAAACATTAATGTTAAATTATATATTTAATTTTCATCATAGTGTATCCATTTAGTATTTGATTTCATCATTAGGATTGAACAGTGAGCACAAGGAATATTTGGATATTCAAATAAGATTTTGTTTTCAAATTCTTGCAAGAGATGGCGTAAATCAAGTGATGGAGACCATGGCAAATTAAGATTTGGATTCATAGGAAAAGAATGGGTTACATCTAACTGAGTATTAAATCTAGGATTATTTGGTAAATTTTGATTTATTTCATTTCGATGAATATAGGATTGAAAAATATTGATATCATCATGAGTGTTTTCTGTGGGATTTTCAGAATTTTCATATTCATCTGATGTAGAATTGAAAAATTGATAATGTTGAATGTTATAATTAGACATTGTAAATTTTATTTTTATTTATTTAAAAAAAATATGAATTTTGGATTATGTTAATTAATTTATAATTAATTTTCTAGTTAATGCTTATAATTTACATATTTTTTCCAGAAATGTATCTAATCTATAGAAAAATTATTATTATGGAAAATTTACAAAGGAATAAAAAGGACAGAATTTTTATATTCTATTTGATGTTAATATACACATATATATAACAAATAAATAAATAAATAAATAAATTAAATAAATAAATAAATAAATAAATAAATAAATAAAATTTAAAAAAAGTTATTTATGCATCATGATCATTTTGAGTTTGTTCCTCCTCATCTTTTGTCAAATCTTCTATCTTTTCTTTTTCCTTCCCTTTTTTTTTTCTTTTTCTTTTTCAAGATCAATGTTATTATCATCATTGTTATTATCATCATTGTTATTATCATCATTGTTATTATCATCATTGTTAGTAATTATATTAATTGCTTCAGCAAATTTTTTATTCGAGGATGCTTGAGCTTCTTCAATAGAATCATGGTCTTTTTTCTTGGTTCTACTTTTTTTTTGTTTTTGAACTTTCCGAATACAAACTTTCTATCCTCACATATATATTATTAATTTTTTTTTCTTCATTTTCCTCTGCATTGGTTTTATTGATTGAGTAATTAAACTCTATTTTGCTTGCATGCAAATGGATTATCTTTCTTGTACTAGTAATTTTTTTTCCAACTGCCATTAATATTGTATTTTTTAAGTGGTCTTTTATCCTTTGGAATCTAAAAAAAAGATCATTTAGTAAAAAAAAAAATTTTTCTTTTTTATTTACAATTAAATAAGTACCATGTAGATATGTTTGTGTATGATACCAGTACATTTGAATTAATTATTTTATTTCCTGTGACACTATTAAAAAAATTCCTTGCAAGGTAGAATGACTCACAATCAATATCTTCAATTTTTTTATATGGATTTTCAACATAGGGAGCAGACACAACAATCAATGGAGAAGCTTCTGGTAGTTCTGTTTTATTCAAATCTTCTTCAATTAAAATTGTTTGTATAAAGTTCAGCTGTTTATAACAAAATAATAATTGATGTTTTTGCTACAGTAATTACAGCACTATCCCCTAAATGGTTAATCAACTATTGATAGCTGATAAATTTTTCTGATATAAAAAATTTTTTCTGAGGACATCACTTTCTAATATGAAATGATCTTTGAGATTCAGCCGATTAATCTATAAATAAAAATCCAGTTGTTGTCCTTATGGTTTTTGTAAAAACTTTAAAAGTTGGTTGATTGACGGTTTTTTACTTTGCTGATCGTTAAATTGACCAATAAGAATGATCAAAACCTTGATTTGTGTTACCATTAAAATATACTCTGACTGTTTAAGAGATAATAGATATTTAAATATGAATACATATTCTGTTCCATTTTCTATGACTATTTGTCCAGTTACTTGCAAAATACAATTTTTGTTAAACTCAATTATTAGAGGCTCTGACCCTCCAAGGTAACCTTTAAATAAAATTTCATTATAATTATTATTTTCAACATCTCTATAAATGGCAGAACCATCAATTGTTTTACTGTTGATGGATACATTTTTAATAAAAATGAATGAAATAAATATTGAGCACATTTTTTTTTTATTTTTAACAAAAACCAAGTTGCTAAGTAGAAATAAGTGAGGAAAAATTAAAGATTTTGTTGAACAAAATCATGAACAAAATAGAAAATGAATTAAAAAGAGCAGGATAATTTTTTCAATATTTGTTTTTTTAAAACCTTTATATACTTCTCAATTGATATATAATATGGATTCATTGACCATTTAAAAATGATTTGTCAATTGATATATATATGGATTCATTAAGAAACATAAAATTTATATTTGAAAATGATTACTCAATTGATATATATATGGATTCACTAGAAATGTAAAAATTTCAATTTATGTGTGAAAAAAAAAACTTTATCATATGATATTAAATATAAGTAATTAGTAAATTTAAAAAATAATTTGCTTCCCGAAGACAAAGATCATTTTGACAACAATTGGCAAGCACAAGAAAAAATCATTTTCAATAACATCAACCTTGTTTTTTTAATTCCATGCTTCCCAAAAAATTATGTTTATAAAAAACATTGTTTTAAGCTGCTTAATATTTAATATTTAATATTTATTAAATTAAGTACTTCTATACAACACTTTCAATTTTGTAAAACAGTAAAATCCTTTTTTGTAAGCTAAATTCCATTTATTTATCAGTCCATGTGGACAATTTCCGAAAGGTTACATCTTTATCCCTCAGTTCATAGGGATAAAGCCTCAGCCTGGGAAATCATATAAGAGGGATATCCCCCCTTATCAATCTTATCGATCTTTGGATATTGGTCGGATAATTCACTCAAGATCTATGGACCAGGTGATCAGAGATATATCTGTGTATTTATATTTATCCCTCGCCAGGCTAAAGCTGTATCCCTCTGAACACAGGGATAAAGGTGTAACCTACCCAGAAATCATTCGCATATGGTGTTATTTATTCATTATATTACTTTTTTTATTTTAAAAAAATCAATGATCATTCCTGAAACGGATAATTTTGTTGTACCATTTTAGTTTCATTTTTTCTTACGTTAAATAAATAATAAATAAAAATAGAAATAGAATTAATTTGACCCAGAATTACGAGATTCATCCAAAATATCTTTGTCAGAATCTGATTCTGGTAACATTAGTACTAATCTAATATCAGTCAAAAAAAATTTATTGGTGTTTGTTAGACATTATTTTTTAATTTACTTTTTTAGTATTAATAAATGGCTTCTATTTTTTTTTTTAAAAAAAAAAATTACCCATGCTCATAAAGTTGGTAAAAAAATTCAATAACGAAAAAAACAGTTTTTAAAAATGCCTAATCAATTAACTGGTATTATTATTATTAACAACTTTAAAGAAAAATTCACTGACAAATATAAAATTGTATCAGGTGAAGCAAAAGGAAAGGTGAGAACTAGAAGAGTTTTTTTATTTGGAATATAGTCTTTCAGCCAAATTCTGAAGAAACCACCAAATATGTTCCAGAAATTATCTATGGAAATGAAGTTTCTTAGTTACAAGTTCCAAGTTTTATATTGGGAATGGAATCATTTATGTAATTTTGTAATTTTTATAATTTTGATTCATTAATATTTAAAAACTGAAATACTAAAATGCCAATTATTTTTTAACATATGATATAATAATTTTAGATAACCATCATTAAAGCATGTCTGCTTGATGTCAAATTTGAACAAATACCTCAAGACACTTTTTCAGTTACTACCATTGGCTATGTTTCAGATGATATTAATGTCACAAACAAATGAAGGAACAAGTATGAAATTTGTTACAAATGACATTTTTGGTAGAGATAGAGAGAAAAACTTGTCAACAAAAAAACAAATTTTATTTATTTCATTCCAAAGAATCCAGACTTACAGCAACCACAACTACTTGTTTTTAATTAATAAAAAAATTTTCATGAGTGACAAAGTCACTTGTCATAAAGCATTCTTCTAGTTAACTTATTTAAGAAAGAATCATCTTGGGATATCTTCACAAATTATGGTATATCCTCTCAATTTTGAGATATCCTCTCAATTTTGAGATATCATCTCAATTTTGGGATAACTTCTCAATATTGAGAGAATATCTCAATTTTGGATATTAGAATTACTAATTAATTAATTGAATTGTATAACTTTTCTCATAAGTTAATTAGTTTTGACTAAGAAAAACTAAATAAATAAAATAGTAATATTTTATTTAAAAACTTTTATCTTCTTTACCCAAAATTATTCACTAATAACAAAATCAATTCATTGATCCCCTATTCATTCTGATCCACACAAAACAAAAATAATTGTTATCACCAATTAAAACATGCTCTCCCAAATTTAATATCACAAATGCAATTGCTTTTCTAATCAATATTATTAATAGCTCTTTGTCTATTAATTCTCAGTGATAATTTTGATTTCCCCCTTCCAATAACATTTTCTCAGCAGTCCTTTGTTATCTGCCTGAGTTGGCACATCTTAAAATATATTTAATATTTGCTTTGGTACATTGAACTTTACTCTTTTATACTTTAGCCTTGGTTCATCAGATTATATTTTTTATATATTCTATTTCTTTTCTTTTCTTTTCTTTTAGTGAGGTAATATTTAATGAGTTTTATTTAATAATTTTGGGAAATGTACATGACTTGGTAGTAAAGAGGAAAACAGCTAGAAGGGCACCCATCAAGAAATGTTATCAGGATATATAGTGTGAAATCTAAAGAAGATACATTGTTTAGATAAGTTTTGAGAATAAAGCATAAATATGCATTTAGTATAAATAAATTGGAAGAAATTGTATTAACACAAATAAATAAAATATTGAGATTTACTGTGAGACATGGATTTTTATCTCACAATAAATTAAAAGTTTTTGGTCAAAGCTAGAGATTAGACCCGTCTAAAAAAACTTCACCCGGGTGACCCGCGGGTTTACCCGACGGGTCAACCGGGTAGTGAACAGATCTTTCTATATATGGATTTAATTTACATAAATGATAAAAAAATAATTTTATTTTTTATTAATTCCAAACTTTACAATATAAACAGTTTGAATTATTATTTATAATGATATTTTTGATCAAATCATTATTTATAAGAGATTGGGATAATCTGTATTAAAAATGTTTGATAATACATATGAAATGTAAAAAAAATTGAATTATAAATCAGATGTCCCATTGTGTTACATTAATTTTTCTCCACCCGGGTGGTAATTTTCATAACCCGGTTGGGCCCAACCCGGGTCCAATCTCTAGTCAAATCAGAGGAAAACAAATACAGTTTTTAAAATCGTTAGAAAATAAAAGTATTTTGGTAAAAGCCATATTTAATGAGTAAGCAATGGTTGAGTACTAATTAAAGATGGAAACCACAATTAGCTGCAATTCAA